AAGGTAATCAATCACCGCTTCACAATGTGATTTTAATATGTTCAGTCACATAAGGTCATGCCAGTGTAAGGTGGATCTTAAAACTACTGATATATAAGTTATTAGAAAACCAAAATACACCCAGGGACACACACATATATAGGGGAAGACAACATATGAGTCTTCTCTATGGGCAGTTATACCAAAGATCATTGGCAAATACGAGAAACCAGGAAAAAGTCTCACAGATGAGACTGACCTGGCTGAAACTGATTCTAGCCTCCCGAACTGTGGGAAAATAAACCTCTGTTCTTCAAAGCCAATCACTTGTACTCGTTCTATTATAGCCACACTGGGAAACTAAGGCATCTTATGAATGCAGCCCGAGATTTGTCTCAAACATGAGAAGAGGATACTCCACTCATCTGTAATGTGTGGAAAATCCTATTTCTACAAATGTGGCCTCATTACCCATCAGAGAGTTCATATAGAAAAGCAATCATGTGAGACAGCTTTCAGCACAAAATCAGTTCTCAACATACATACAAAACCTATACAGGAGAGACATAGTGATGCAGTAATTTTGAGAAGACCTGTAGGGTACCAGCCCCCACAATCAAACAGGTCCAAGGGGTGGTTGTGTCATTGAGGGGTAAAATTAAAGAAACATCAGACAAGATAAAGCATGCAAGTGCTCACCTCTGGTACAGCCAGGATCACACCAACCAGGTCCGTGCAGAGAGCAAGAATAAATTTCCAATCACAGCATTAAATATATATATGCGCTGAGCACGCGCCCCTGATTACAGGTAACCATATATATATATATATATATATGGGCCAAGCACGCGCCCCTGATTACAGGTAACCATGGACGTAACAGGAAGGGGCTGTACAATAGGCATATATGCAATAGGAGGGGGATGAGCTAGGTGTGTACACGCAATAGAGATGGGAGGCACCAAAGAATGGGGTACACAAGATGGGCAGACCCCAGATTCAAGATGGCAGCCTAACCTTGGTCCTCCTTGAGCTGGCTTGGCCTTGTCTCTGGGCTCTCCTTCAGGGAAACAATCCACTATCCTAAGCAGGGAGTGGGCCCTATTTAGGGTGGGACAGACTATAGATAGGATCTGATTGCTCTAGATGGCTGATACCCTCAGGGAGGTAACCTCTAAGTAGCTGACCTCCAAGTGTAAGACACTGAATATGGGGGAACAAACTCGGGAAAAACCTTTCTGTATCCTACATTCTCCCACTTAACATATCTTGTGGACAATAAGAGAATGCACACAGGAAAAATGTGTTGATTCAGTCAAGGTGGAAATTTAACAGCACATCAAAGTACAGTCTGGTTGCTCTAGATGGCTGATAACCCTTATGAGGAATAACCTCTGACCTACTTATGGAGAATAACCTCTGACCTACTTTCATTGACCTCCTAGTGCAAAGTTTTTTACCATGTGTAACAGTAGCATCTTGGGTTTGGCACATATTTGGGGGAGACAGCTTGGGAGAAATCTTTCTGTATCCCACACTGGTCCCTTGGGCTATGCCTCTGTGGGCCAGGAATTCAGCCTGCTCTTCTGCCTCCAAGTGTCGTCTCAGTGTTGCTCTTCAGTTCTCTCTCCTGGTCTTGCCTCCACCTCTGGTCTCACCGTGGTATGGCCTGCAGTTGGTTCTTCTCCTTGATGGCCTTGGAGTTAGTTGTTCCTGCTACTGGGATGGCTCATCCTGACAGCCAGGGAAAATGTTCAACAGCAACAACCAATCTCACTGCCATCGAGTAGATCCTTGTGGGGTGTCAGCCCCCACAACCGAATGGGTGCAAGGAGTGGTTATGTAGTTGAAGGGTAATTAAAGAGACATCAGACAAAACAAAGCATGTAAGGGCTCACCTCTGCTGCCATGACTTCAGGAGCCA